CAATCTTTCATACTAGACAACCTGTATAAAACTATAATACATATCAATTTATACTAGTTGTTCAATAACTGGTTATTGATAGGCATATTAACTAACAATGAATAATATACTAATTAAAATATATACCCTATTACATACTCCCCCCTCAACAAACTAGAAAACTATTCTCCGCATCATTTACGGTATAGGTCCACTGATAACTGCTAGGAGTGATTCCAATATTTTTTTCTGGTAAATCCTTTAAGGCTCCCGAATTGGATAATTCCTGGATATAAGTTGCCTTAATAAGCCAATCAGGTTTCCTCCCAACAGTCTGTTGCTGATACAGTAGATAATCTCCAGAACCCTGCCAAGCGGGCGTCTGCTGATCCTCGGTGGACCTTCAAGGAGTGGGTACTGGAACTGAACATGCTGGACTGGTTCCTACAGCCTCATCTGACGCTGCTGGGTCCTCCTGAGATAGGCTGAGAGCACCATCCTCTCTGTCAGATGTCCAATCTGATCATCGCTGCTCTCACCATCTCCAAACTCCAGGCTGAATTGGGCCGTCACCCTCTCCTGCTGGAGTTTCTATGTCCTCTCCAGCATCTGTGTCCTCGTGAGCACTTGTTGGGGTGCCTGTCACATCCGCTGGTGGACTAACTATTAAGTACTCGTCCTCTTCTGTATCATCCTCACTTCCCAGTACACTCCTGTCATCGCGATTATCCACCTCCAACTTTTCCTTTCTCCTTTGGTCCCGTCGTATTGACCTTGCTGGGACTTTCTCTGGAGTATTTTCTGTCCGTTCAAGATTGCCCACGGGTAACAACAGATTACGATGTAGGGTTCTGAGACGTCCGCCCCCTCTCTCTGGCTTGACTCGAAACACTGGTACCTCTGGATTAGGTTGGTCTTGCACTATGTGGACTATCTCCTCCCATTTGTCTGCAAGCTTGTGTTTACCTTCGTGGACAAGCTTCTTGACTAGTACGCGGTCACCACATTCAATGGTTGCTCCCTTGACCTTTCGATCAAATATCTCCTGCCTTTCCTTGGCATTCCCAGATGTCCTGCACACCATGTCGTAGGACTCCTTCCAACCGTGTCCTCAAATCATCTATGTATCTGGAATGACTCTGATGCTCTTCTCTTCTAGGAATACCGAAGGCTAGGTCCACCGGCAATCTAGGTTGTCTTCCAAACATTAGTAGGAAAGGGCTGTACCCAGTTTGTTCATTCTTGGTGCAGTTATAAGCGTGTACAAGGGGTGCCACGTGTTTTTTCCAGTTCATCTTTTGTCCAGGTTCCAATGTACCCAGCATGCCTAGTAAAGTGCGATTGAACCTTTCACAGATGCCATTCCCCATTGGGTGATATGGCGTTGTTCTAGACTTCCTTATCCCAGTAATCTGACAAAGCTCATGAATCACTTTTCCAGCAAAGTTTGCTCCCTGATCTGAATGCAGCCGGATGGGAAATCCATAGTTCACAAAGAAGTTATTGAATAAGACTTCTGCTGTGGTCCATGCTGTCTGATTGCGGGTTGGGTAAGCTTGTGCATACCGAGTAAAGTGGTCTGTTAACACAAAAATATGCTGATATCCTCCTTTTGATGTTTCTAAGGTCAAGTAATCAATGCATACCAGCTCCAGAGGCTGTGAAGTGGTGATGTTTACCAATGGTGCTATCTGTACTGTAGAGGTTTTTCTCCTGATACATCTTGGACACTTCTGCAACCAGTTCTCAACATCCTTCAACATCCCAGGCCAGAAGAATCTTTCCTTCACAAGTGATAGTGTCCGGTCCCTGCCAGGATGACCAACATCATTATGTGATGCCTCCAAGACCTGGTGTACCTTGGATGACGGTATAAGGCGCTGCAGCGCTATTTCACCTTCATGGTTGGTTTGTCTGCACAGGATTCCATCTTTCAGCACTAGGTGCTCAAAATAACGTAGTATAGACAGTTGTGCTGGGTACATGTCCTGGCGTGACGGTTTACGTTTCTCTCTCACAGCGCTGATGAATGGAGACAGCACTCTGTCCCTAGCTTGAAGCTTTCTCCAGTCTCGTGAGGTCAACTGATCCATATCCTGCACATCATCCTCTAGGGTGTTGTCAATGGCTAGCACCTCCGCTCTCTCACTACTCTGTACACTTGCACAAATGGTCTTCACCGATTCTGTATCAATCTCCAAGGGGGGTTTCTTCTGGTATCCTTGACAAAATGTCGGCATCTGTGTTATTCCTCCCCGCGGTGTAATTGATGGTGAAGTCAAAGCATGACAACGCTGCTAACCACCGATGTCCTGTAGCATCCAGTTTTGCTGTCGTAAGTACATATGTAAGAGGATTATTGTCTGTTACTACAGTGAAGCGGTTCCCGTATAGATAATCCGTGAATTTGTCTGTTATTGCCCACTTCATTGCCAAAAATTTCAATTTGTGCGCTGGGTACTTCCTTTCAGCCTTGTTTAATCCTCTACTAGCATAGCTGATTACCTTTTTCTTCCCTTCTTGCTCCTGATGCAAAATAGCACCAAGTCCCTTAGCACTAGCATCTATGTGCAACTCAAAAGGGAGTGAAAAATCTGCATATCCCAGAACAGGTGGTGTTATTAGTATAGCCTTCAGTTGTTCAAATGCCTCCTGTTGTTCTTTTCCCCATGTCCACTGAATCTGTTCAGACTGTTGCTTCTTTTTCTTGGATTTTATATTCCCACGACCTGTGCATGGCAAGACATCATTCAAGGGTTTGGCTATCTTGGAAAAATTACGGACAAATTTCCGATAGTATCCTGCGAACCCTAGAAACTGCCTCACATCCTCTGGGCTTTTAGGTGTCTTCCACTGGACTATCTTCTCGATCTTATCGGGATCAGCTTCCACTCCGGATTCCGATACCACAAATCCTAAATACTTCACCTTAGTCTTCAGGAAGAAACATTTCTTTGGAGATAACTTAATACCATTCTCCCTCAGTCTTTGTAGTACCAGCTCCAACCGATCCATGTGTTCATTGAAGTCCTTCGAAAACACTATCAGGTCGTCCAAGTAGATAAAACAGATTGATCCAATGTAGTCCCCTAAGCAATCTTCCATTAAACGCTGATATGTGGCTGGAGCGTATATTAGCCCAAATGGCATCTGGTTGTATTCCCATAATCCAAGTGGTCCAACAGTAAAAGCAGTGCGCTCTTTGTGTTCGTCCATAACATCTACCTGACGGTATCCGCTCATCATCTCGAGGACTGAGAAAAGCTTTGATCCATACAAGGAATCCAGAATCTCCTCTATTCATGGCAGAGCATATGAATCTCTGTTGGTCCTAAGATTCAGCTGCCTGTAGTCAATGCACATGCGAAGACTTCCGTCCTTCTTACAAGCAAGCACCACGCATGAAGCCCAGGGTGAATGGGAACGTCGGATAACCCCGCAGACTGCAAGTTGCCGAAGGTGATCCCTGACTTCCTCGTACATACCTGATGGGATCCTCCTAAACCGCTGCCTAAATGACGTAGCATCAGTCAAATCTATTCGGTGCTGTATCGTCTTGCAATGTCCGAGGTCCAAATCCTCAGATGAGAACACATCCGCAAAATGTTGTAGCACACTGTCTGTCCTTTGTCGTTGTTCTGCTGTCAACGTCGAAACATCTCAATTTAACAGGTCTCTGAAATCCTTATGTTCAGCTGAAACATCATAATCTTCCAATGTTCCTTCCACAGATACAGGATGAAGTTCTGCTAGGATGGATCTTGAAGGTAGAGTGAGATTTCTAACACTGACGTTAGATATGGTGATGGGGATATACTGCGTAGGCTCCCGGTAATTATAGTGAAATAGACCAGGTGTGATATCCAGATCTCTGGTGATTGGTGAGGTAACCGGCTGTAACAGCGCACAAGTTGGTAAATAATTGACAGGCTTGTCAATAACAGCGTGTATGGTCACACTGGAATTGGATGGAATCACAATGTTCCCTCGGCCAGCAGTCTTCACTATGCCCAAACACCAATTCTTCCTCCTCAACTCCCTAGCTCTCAACATCAAACAACGGAATGTTAAATACCATGGGGTATCCAATGGTGTATCCCGCATGAATCGTGGACCAAACACCCGTCGACTCCCATTAAATGCTTCAATGAGAACGTTGGTTCCTAGCAGCAATGGGCCGGCTTTATTATAGCGACTATCTGGAACAACTAAAAACAACCCAGTATGCTCCTTCAATCCTGGAAGTCCACTTAATGTGGCCTCAACACACCCAATATAAGGCAGCTGTGTGCCTCCAGCACACTCAATGTCTAATAGATCCGTGATTGGTTGTAGCTCCAAATGGCTCAGACGAGCTGTATTGAATGCCTCGCTCATAGTGGAGACAGTCGAACCTGTATCCAGTAGGGCTAAAACATCTACCCCAGAAATACTCGCCAAAGTCTCGCTACATTCACCGACTAAACGAGCAGAATGCGCTTTGGGTCTCTGTCTCTCACAGCCTACTGCTGACCCTTCTCGGTAGGCTGACTCTTGTTTAAACTCTTCTTTGAGTGGTCCAAAATAACCCTGCATCCCAGCTTTACATGTCCGACCTGGCCACATCTCCAACAAACTACATCTTTCTTTTCTCCTCTCTGCTCCCTTCCTTCCCTAGCAGTTTGGTACTGTTTCTTATCTCTGTTTCCTTGTCCCTGCTTGCCACTATGCTCTTTCCAGGTCTTAACATCTGTTGACAGCTGGTTAATCATGGCCTTTAACTCTGTAATCTTATCATTCTCTTTGGTCTTGGGTTGAGCAGCCATCTTAGCTGTAGCTGGCTTCTTCCCAGTTGTGTCCATGTGATCGTGTTCTATTGTTCTAAGTGCCACCCTCAGTGAATCGAAGTCCTTCAGGGAATCGAACTTGTGACTGGAGATATCTCTAAGGGGTTGTCGAAGTCCACTCCAAAACTTTGAGCGAAGCATCTCTCCCATCCCCTGAGACTGTACTTCTCCTTTCTGTTTGGCTCTGTCTAACAGCTCCTCCAATCTGCATCCCCAAGCTGACACATCTTCAGTTTCTCCCTGTGTATCACTATAGAACTTTTCCAGAAGCGATTCTTTTGACTCTATAATACCAAAAACAGATCTGACCTGTAGTACTGGTTCGACCCAATCTTCTTGCCACACCAGCAGCTTCACCTTTAAGGGATTGGCGGACTGCTAAGGCAAGTTCCTCAGCAGAATATATGTGGTCCTCCTCAAGACATTCCACCTCATACTTCCATTGTTCATAGCTAACTTGATCTTTTTTATCAGAAGAACCATAGAAATTTGATATCCTAGGTCGCTGGTGAAGTACGGATGTGTTAGGGGTATGATGAGCTGGGCCACCTCCTGCAGCACCATGAGTGTCGCCCTTAGGTTTAGCTCCCTTGTTAGCAAAATCCACTGAGAAAACGCCTCCTTGGATTCCACGTTAGGCTTGATGTCCATCTCTTCCAATATAGAACTAAGCTTCTCTGCATCTGACATGTTGAAATTTTTCACCAGTACTGTAGGTGTAGTAAGGTGTTCCAAAAGTCCAAGTGAATACACAAAGTCCAAAAATAAAACAGTCCAAAGTGAAAGTAAGAAAACAAAATTTGACAAAATAATTGCAATGAAAGAAAAAATGAACACAACAATTTTAAACAAACTAAAGTACAAACTGGCTTTTAGTGCAGTTGTACCCTGATATATCTATGCAAAATAGTACGGCTAAGTTTCACTGTTAATATCGAAATCTGAAAAAAACAAACAATTATATAAGCACGGTAAGATCTAGCTATCATATAACAAATCTCAAAGCTGATAATTTTCCACAATGAAGAATACGGGTAGTATAGAGCTTATAGAGTTCCAAATAATTGCAAAGTGTAGTAACTTAATTATAGAATTTATGATTCAGAATGTAAACACAAACCTGAAAGAAAAGAAGAAAAAAAAAACAGAAATGAATATCCACTACAATCTTGGCACAGTTTTCACCACATGTAACACACAATGTCAAATGTCATGTCAATGTCGAGAGAAAAAAAAAGAAAATTCTTATGTTTTGGAGAAGGGAAAAGAAAAAGGAAAAAAAAAATAATCTAAATCCCAAAATTTACCTTATACTTGTAAAATTTAACTGTAAATAGCAAACTTATATAGCTGAGGGTGTAGGACTAGGGGGAAAAATGTTTTCTGTCCTAATTAAATTTAAGGGGAAGAAAAAAACAAAAGTATTAGGAATGCAAGACCGCTATCGAAACTGAAACAACTGTAGAAAGAGGAAACACAAAGAAAACCAAAATTTACCCAAAAGTGAGGTGAATGAAATCTAGGTCTGTATCACAGGTACATATGTAGAGTATTTATTATCACAAGTTCAAGAAATGAACATTGGTTGTAAATAATTATTATTATCCACCTACAAGTACAAGTATTTTATAGGTTACATGGCCAAATGGCAGTGATAGCTAAGTTAACATCACGGAATATATTCAATAAAAATCTAATAGATATGTTATGTAAACAAATATTATAAATCACCCTATCACAGTCTCTCAAGGAACGACAGAAGCAAATACTTCAATATAATAAATTAAATGTCAATAAGAGATACTTCACTTTAAGGAAAACCATAGGAATGTATATCAAGTCTATTCACAGCAGCTTCAAAATGATGCAAGTTCCATGTCGTAAATAGTAAACCGGAAACAGGAAACAGCTGGTAGGTACAGGGTACAAAACCCAAAGTCAAGGACATTAACTTTAGACTTGCACAAGCCTTTTCAAGTTCATAATAAAAATTCTCACCAGTGGTAGCGTATAAGCGGAGACCTCTGCTTCATCTTCATATAAGACCAGTGAAGAAATAAAAAGTATGACACTGTAGCTCGCACAAGGGGTATTACCTTACCGGCCGGTATGACAGTATGACAGTATAAGCAACACAGGCTCCTGAAGGAAATCCATAAACACCTAAGTTAGCCGTTGAACATCACGTTGGGCGCCATTTGTTACAGGGGTTCACGTCATTGACAGAACAAAGCCGGAATTCATGTCTTTATGTTTATTTGCTGTAA